TGCTCCTGCTCACCTCCAAACTGGGAACCCTATTGTCTGTGGAAATCTGTTTCACCCAAAACTGAAGTTCTTGCCGGGCTAACACCACTGCTCTCATCCAGCCCATGGACCAACAGGTCATTTCTAACTTTAAAAACTAGACACCAAAGCAGTGTTTCAAAGGTGCTCTGAAGTGACCTCGGACACAGATTTGACCCTAAGAGTTTTGGAGGAATCACTTCAATATCCTCCATTGCATAAGCCTTATAGGTAAGGCTTGGGAGGGAGTGACTTCCAGGACTTTGACCTTCTTGGAGAAAATTGTGGTCAAAATGTGTCCCTACACCTGTTGTGGAATTCATTGTATCTCTGGGCAAGTCCATGGGGTTGGAGGTTAGTGATGAGGATGTGGAAGAGTTGGTGGAGGACCGCAGGGAAGAGCTAACCACTGAAGAGCTGCAAGAGTTTCATCTGGAACAGTAACAGACCATAGCTCAGGACCTTGCTTCAGAGGAAGAGGGAGTGAAGGAGGTGCCTTCTTCAGAGATTAAGGAGATTTGTGCAATGTGGACTAGGGTGCAAGCTTTTGCTGAGAAATATCACCCCTGATCAAGCTGAAACAAGTTACATCTGGAACAGGTTCAGTGACAACCTTGTCCCACTTCAGGGAAATCTTAGAGAGACCAGAAAGAGAGCTCTCTGGACAGATATTTTGTGCGACAGCGGTCCAGTGACTCTCAAGCTGGTCTTAGTGGCATTAAAAGACAAAGAAGGGAACTAACCCCAGATAGGGCTTTGATACCTGAAGTCCTTGTGGAGGGGGATTCCCCTTCCAAACAATAAACTCTCCTCCTCGCTATCTTCCATAAAGGTATGTAATACTGATTTAATTGTTCATGTATTTATTTTATTTAGTTCTCATTGTTTGTGTATGTAAAACTATAATTAATCTCTAAAAAATACATTTTTTTTTTTTTGTGAATATTTTTGGGTGTCTGGAACGGATTAATTGTATTTACATTAATTCTTATGGGAATAATTATTTCGGTTATCGACCATTTCAGTTTAAGGCCGGCTTTCTGGAATGGATTACGGCTGATAACCAAGGGTCCACTGTATGTCATTCATGTCAGCTAGGCTTGTATACCTTGTACATGTATTTTTAGAAATAAAGATATTATTATTATTATTGTTATTATTATTATTATTATTATTATTATTAATTAAATAATTTCAAGTGCAGGAAGTATATTATTACAACCAAAACATAGTTTAATTTGAATAATTGAGACACGCCTACCAAATGCTACATACAAGGTTTTAAATTATTTCACTGATAAAGAGATGGAGTAGCTCTTCTCTCAGAAAAAACTTATTGCATCAAAATTTTTATATTGAAGGAGCTGACACTGAATGTATTTGGCAAGTTTTGAAGGAACTAAAAGGGTTTTTTTTAAGGTTAAGTAATGACCTAAACCTGGGAAGCAACCAAGGAAGACAGCTTTTAAAAAGTGGACACTGGGAGCAATATTAATTTCAGGGGTCTGCACAGTGAAAGGGTAAATGTGCACATTTATAGTTTGTTCTCACTTTAGAAATCTTTTTTAGGTTCAACCCTATAGCAAGTGGATTACTGGTGAAGGCATTGAGTCGCATATTGAGTATAGAGAGTGCTTCTGAGGGAAGAAAGATGCAGCCACTCCCTACCCGTGAGACACTCCAGATATTAGCAGAAACATCCGGCGGTGATATACGAAGTGCAGTCAATGCTCTTCAATTTGCAACTAAAAAAAGTTAGTAGTATTCCCTGTTTTAACATTCACACCCTAACCTTTTCTTCACGCTTCATAATAACTCCATAGGGTTTTTCACAGCTTTGCAACACCTAATATGGCCACCCTTTCGTACAAGTGTTCTGAAGCCATAAATGTAGCAAATAGGTACTTTAATATGACTAAGTTTTTTTTATTATTATTATTAACACATCAGCCATTTCCCACTGAGGCATTGTGACCTGAAAAAGAAGAAACACTTTCATCATCACTCACTCCATCACTGTCTTGTCAGAGTTATGCCAACACTTCAGTTCAGAAACTGCAGCATATCTCCACCCCTCCTTCAGAGTGCAGGCACTGTACTTTCCACCTCCAGGACTCGAATCTGGCTAACCAGTTTCCCTGAATCCTTTTATAAATGTTACTTCCTCGCAGTCCAACAGCACATCAAGTCTTAAAAACTAAGTATTTTATTTTTGTCAATTCATTAATCATTTAGCATCTTAGCACTAAGCAGAAATCTGAAAAAAATTATGACCTTTGTCTAAGTGACTTGCATGTCTCATACTGACCTCCCCAGGTCCTGGAGTATATCTGGAAGGTGTTCTGAGGGTCAACACCCCCATGGCCGGGTTCATGACAGGCCTCACAGTGGATCAGGCCTGCAGCCATTCCCAGGGCCTGCCTTTGTCAGACAGATTGTACTCATATCTCTAAGGACTGTATAAACATAGTTCGTTGGACACTGTTACACTTACCAGAATGTCTTTGATGACACCTGATTCCTGGGTTTAGTCCAAGATCAGTGTTATGGCACACCTGATCACTGAAGAGCAGGACTTCACACAAATGCAAAGTATGGCACATTGATGATGATATTTGGACAAACTTTTACGCTCTGTGGCCGCATGTAAGCCCTTCACCACCATACCTGATTAAATCCCTACTTGCCTTGTATAAATTATGGATTGCAATTTACTTAATGAACAAGACAAGGAAAGAGGACTTTGCCTATGCCCTAGTTTGTTAAACCTGGGATAATTGTATCTGGGCATGTGATTTCTTCTGGACAGGAATATCCTA